GGGTGAACCACCCAGGAACACTGACATTAGTGAATCATAAACAAGGTCTATCTCAACATCCCAGAATCCCTTCTGGACTGAAACCGACTGGTTGTGGGTTTATATACCAACAAAAAATGATCCCAAACATCCTTCAAAGCTGTGCAAAGACTCTTTGACCAAGAAACAAGAAAAAGGAAGTACTCGAACTGATGGAGTGGCCAAATCAAGGCCTACAATGGACTCAAAGATAGACTCTACAAAAGTTTCATTTACAGCAGGTCTCTCGGACTAGTTAGAAATGATCTGAAAGTCAATATCAAAAGAGCCTGTCAAAGTGCACCAAGCTAGCAAGAATGCAAGCTGTTCAATGCCTAAGGGGGCATTAAGTCTTTTGGTTATTATACGTAAGTAAGGACTATGTAGTTGTTTGTTGAATAACTAATATAATTTTTAGTTTTAAGCAAGTTTTGTGTGACAGATTTGTAAAATATTTGTATTTCCTTGTTTCTACACTGTTACAAAAAACATCTTAAATAAACGGTAATATTCTGGCAGCTGGGGCGCCAAAATACTACCGTAAAATAACAGAAAATAACTTCCTCATAAAAATACGTTTTTTCCAGTAATGACTATACAGTTTGTTGTGCTAATTTTACATGGGATTTTGCCTTTTCCAAATGCTTTTAGACATTAAATTAGGAACATGTTAATGTGATTAAACAATGAAATCATCTATAAATAGGAAAAATACTAATGTTAAAGAAACGTTAATATTCCGGCAGCTGGGGCGCCAAAATACTAGCGTAAAATAACAGAAAATAACTTTCTCATGAAAATACAGTTATTTTCAGTAATGAAAATAGAGTTTGTTGCACTAATTTCACATGGGATTCTGCCTTTTCCAAGTGATTTTAGACATTAAATTAGGAACATTTTAACGTAACAATGAAATTACCTATAAACAAGGTCAATGAATGTGGCAATATGAATCATAATACGTAAATGTACAAATATACAGTTAACAGTTGGTTTAAATAATAATGGATTGCATGCCCTGGGACAGACTGACAGAGGCGAGGCTGCCATATTGCACCAGGTGAAGAGTCTGGACCACGGACACAGTAGCGAGAGTGTCCGAGCCGGGGCTCGAACCGGCAACCTTCTGATCATAAGGCGAACTGCCAACTCTTGAGCCACGATCGCCCTAAATAGCAACGATAATAATACTTATGTGATGTAACACAAGCTTATAGGAATCATGTTATATACTTTTCCATAGCATTACATTTGAATTCAACAGTTCGATCTTTCAAATAACGGACAGATATTTGTGAGATCATGATACATTTGTGAATGTATTTTAACAATCTAAATATGCATGTGTACAGAAAATATATTTAAAAAACAAGTAAATTGTGTTTTACTATATTTACAGTGATGTTATGTTATTTTACCTTTGACATGTAAAATCACAGTCTACTTATGTAAATTTCATGATATTCTAGAAAGACAGTACTATTTTTTGGAACAGTGTAGGGTGGTCTAATAATCACAGTATATGGTATAAGACAAGAATGTTGAAATACATTTAACATGTCTGTCTGTCTCTGTGGTTGTATGGTCTACCTGTTGTGTCAAGGGAGTCTTGTATCCCCATTCAGTCATGTCTCTGCATTTCTTTACCGTTTCCCTGTGTCAAGTTTGTATGTCTTAAGTTTGGGTCTCTGTCTCATGTTGTTTCCTGTTTTTCTTTAATAGTCCTTCATCTTGTGTGTGTGATGTTCCGCATTGCTTCCCTTGGATTGTTAGTGGATTCTGTTCACCATGTTTCCACTCTGCCCTTACCTCGTGTGTGTAATTAAGTCTTCAGTTTTCTTTAGTTGGCAATCTCCCCTCTACATGTCCAGTATTTCCTATTCAGGGTCCTAGTCTCTGAATAATTAAGTTTCCTGTATTCCGTTTCTCGTAAGTCTAACAATAAAGCTGCCTTTAAGTTTAGTCCAGTTTCTGAGTCCTACATCTGGGTCCTAACCCGGCCTGCTTCACACAACAGCTCATGACAACTTGTACCAAAGTAAGGACACAAATGTCTATGACAAACCTTCTGAAAGAGCATACAGACAGGAATTCTTTTCAGCTTTCAAATGGAGTGAGTGAATGGATTTGAATTCATTTGTTTAACCTTGAATTATGTATGTTGAGAAGACACACTCTGAGTGACTAAATATGGTTCACAACCTGCAGCCATGTTGCAAAAGAAAAAACATTTAACTAGATGGTTGGTACACAGATAAAAAGTAAATAAATGAATAAAGATGGCAGCAAAAAATAATTAAATAAATAAAAATTTCACTGACTATGTTTTTATATTTGGGATCTTCTGATTCAGAATGAAAAGTTCACCCACTTCATTTCTCATTACACTTTTTCTCCTAATGTTTATTTGTGTGGTTCATTCCAGAAACTGTGACTCGGTTTCTCAAAACTCCAAACGCAAACAAAGAGTTTGCTGCTTTTGTCAAAACCCCACACATCTCTTGCGAAATAAAAACAGCGCTCAAAAAAACAAAACATGTCCTCTCTTCTCAAAACGGGTTCCTTCCACAAAAACAATACACACAGATATTACCTGATGTCTTCTCGCAGACCATCATACAAACACTGATGTGATAAATATAAAACAGTATCATCAAAAGTGCTCATGTATGTTTTGGTTTGGTGAGGTCATGCTACGTATTCAAATGATTTTGAGCACCTATATCCAAAAAAAAAGAAAAAAAGAAAATAGAATAATAAAAAAAGGACCTATTTGATGTATATGTTGAGCAAATTTACTAATTTCACCATGTATTGCAAGTACAATGAGAAACCCTACACAGATCCCAAAGGATAAGAAATATATGTGTATTACTGCAATACGTGTTTAGCTGAACTGACCAAAAAAACTTCCTCATAGACCCCCTTTCACTCTTCCTCTTTGTTCTTCCTGTTTCAGCTTCTTGCCTAACACTTGAAGAAATGACTCAAAGCCTCTTTTATACTCTGACACATGATTAAATTGTTCTTCCAGTTGAGTTTGCAAACGTGCAGAAAGAGTTGGACCAATTTCTAAATCAGTGTGTTGCATTTTGAAGGCCAGGGTTCCTACAGGTGAAAGAAAGTGTGCTAAATGATGCACTTTGTGTTCAGAGATTTGCAAGAGTGTGATTTAGAATGACATCTGAGCAAAACAGGTGGGAATGTCAGTAGTAATATGTATGAGCTTTTTAACATGGCCTTCATAAATGGTAAGTAAAACAATACTATTACTGTATTTTATAAATGTGTA